AACAATGCTTCGCGCGGTGGCATGGCCAAACATTCTCGTTTTCTTTTCCTTTTCACTGTTCGTTAACTTATTAACCAACCGATAGGTGGCGCCACCATCACTGTTGGTTAACTTATCAACCAACCGATAGGTGGCGCCACCATCACTAATCGTTAACTTATCAACCAACCGATAGGTGGCGCCACCGTCCCAGCTGGTGCACGTAAACGCTGTCCTGCTAAACTATGAGGCGCTGTCCACAACGAACGTTTGCTGCACGGTAACGCCATTCCCTTAACCTTCCCTATGACGCTAACGGTAAACTATAACTGTCTAATAAAGCGCATGTGTCAGTGCCACACCGCATGCACGTACTGTTTAGACCTCTGAAGGCCGGTGCGCGCACTGAAAACAACGCAGCCGAGTTACGTCGTAAATCCCCTCAAAGTGTAGAAAACTACAAATAAGGTTTTCATTACGGTACTTGCACCGCGAGAACTTGCGGAACGCAGAAAACGTCCCTTGTGATGTCATTAGCACAGCTGCACGTCGTTGTCGACCCTGGCAGTAGTGTTGCCAGCAAAATCGGGAGAAACAGTAACCTATACCGTGAATCGGCACGGTGTAGGTTACTGGCCCCTCTGTATAGTGACACGGGCAAAATAGTATGCTTCAGAACCCCATCCTTCATTCAAGTACTTACACGCCTTCACAGCGACTACCAGAAGCCAAAGTTGGCCCTGAAAAAAAATTCCTGGGTACCCATCATGTTTTCCAGGGGGCCAACGCAACAGCTTACTCCATAACTTTTGGGCACAGTCGATGCCTTTATATGCGATCAACAGGCAGAATCAGTAACATCTCTCGCTCGCACATGGTCCCGCGAATACTCTTAAACATGGCGCATTCTGCTGCCGGTCACGAGTGCGGCTCCGGGCGAGTCCGCGCACTCAGAGGCGACACGCGCCGGCACACAGGCGCTCATAGAGGTCTCGGTCGAGCGGCACGTAGCGGCCGACGGTCTGGTCCAAAAAGAAGCACGGATCGCCGCTCAGCTGGTCGATGTGGTACTCGTGCCGCTGCAGCTCCCCCTTCTTCAGCTTGTACGTGGACGTGGCGTCCACGGCACGCGTGAGTCGCACAAAGAGCGGCACAGCATAAACAGGCAACTGGTGCCGCAAAGCAGCGAGCAGCGCGTCCAAGTCGGTGCGGCGGTCGGGGTCCTGGACAGCGAGCATGCCGGCACGACCCTCGGTTCCTGGCAACGAGACGCCGTATGCGACGCAGTCGCTCAACCCCAGTGCTTGCGCCGCCACGCCTTCCACTTCGGCCGTGGAGACGTTCTCGCCCTTCCATCGGAAGGTGTCACCCGTCCGGTCACGGAAGTAGACGTAGCCCAGCTCGTCGGTGACCAGCAAGTCTCCAGAGGCGAACGCCATGTCACCCTTGCGGAACACGTCGCGGTACAGCTTCTTCTGCGTGGCCTCTTTGTTGACGTAGCCGTCGAACTGATGCATGTGGGAGCGCTCGACTTTTCCCACGAGCTCACCTACCTGGCCGGGACCGCAAGCGAGGCAGATGCCCGACTTGTCACGCAGCGGAAGCCCAGTCGTCTCGTCGACGCGCACCAGCTTGATGGGCAGCAGGCGCTCGCCCAACGCGGGCCACAGCAGGAACAGCACGGGGAAGAAGCCCACGGCCCCCGGCCGGTTGTCGGTGTTGACAAGGTTGGCGTTGCCTTCGGTGGCGCCATACACTTCGCGGAGGTCAGCAAGTCCGAAGCGGTCGGCGAACGGCCGCCACAGCTGAGGCCGCAGCCCGTTGCCGAACATGAGGCGGACCCGGTGCGCACGGTCCTGCGGGCGAGGCGGCTGGGCCAGCAGGTAACGACACGTCTCGCCGATGTACTGGGCCACCGTGCACCCGTACTGCGCGCAATCCTCCCAAAAGGCGGACGCCGAGAAGCGTGGCCGCAGCACGGCCGTGTTGCCGAACAGGAGCGCCTGGGACAAGGCCAACACTCCGGCGGCCACGTGGTACACCGGCAGGCAGACGTACAGAACGTCGTCGTCTCGCATGGGCATCATGTGGCGCACGGCACTGGCCATACTGAAAAAGCGACGCTGCTTGATGATCGCGGCTTTGGGAAGACCCGTCGTGCCGGACGTGTAGATATACAGCAGCCGGTCGTCCATGCCGCCGCGGTACGGCGGCGCGCTGGGTTCGGCAGCTTGCAACAGGGGCTCCAGCCAGGTCACCGGCGCGCCCAGATCCTTCACGTCGGCGTCGAGGCAGACGTAGAGCGGCTCGGTGCCAAGCTTCTCCGCAATCAGGGGCCGGGCGTCGCGCAGCGGTTCCAGCAGCGCGCGCGTGAACACAACAGCACGACTGCGCACGCAGGATATGCAATGCGCGAGCGAGGCCTGTTTCAGGTTATAGTTGATGAGAGCCGACACAACACCCAGCTTGGACAGGCCCAACCACAGCATGACAGCCTCGGGTCGGGACTCGGCGAGCAAAGCTACTTCGTCGGTGGGTTTCAATCCCAGCGCCGCAAACGCGCACGCAACGCGCTCCGAGTAGTCTTGCACTTGGGAGAACGTCCAGGTCCGCTGCGCCGTCACAAGACAGGGCTTGTCCGGCTGCCGGCGTGCTACCGACGCGAACACGCGCGCCACAGTCGCGTCTTCGGCCACGCGCCGGTGCATGTACCAGTTGAGGCGCATGTAGCCGACGGCAGCGAGCACGTCGCGCGGCGCGGTTCGCGCCAACAGGCGCAGCGTACGCCAGCCACCGGTGACAAGGTAGGCTACGGCCAGGAGGAGCGCCGCGGTACTCAGCGACCACAGCGTGCCGGCCACACCGAAGAGGCCAAGCAGCAGCGCCGACTTGGACGACATCGTCACACTTCTGCGGCCACAGCGCCCAGCGCATGGCGCCGCGCGCACCGACGACCTACTTTTATGCGCCGGCCCCAACGGGAAGCTCAAAGTCCGCCGGCATCGGCGAGAAAATAGTTCGCTCGCGCCATCTGGCGCCGGGCCGCGAAGGCGTCCGCGGCGTGTCACGAGGCCGCGCCGGGCCCAGTCGCCGCCAGGTCGACCGGTCTTCGCAGCCGCCGCTGACCAGCATTGACCACGAGGTCAGTGCTCGCCGTGCGGCATGCACGCTTCATTCAAATCGGGGATTCCAATGAAAATTTGTACACAGCATGCGCGAACGAGTTTCGCGTTTACCGCTCTGCGTGCACGTGCACCAAGTTACGACGCACGTGCGCTCCGAGGCGTTACCTGCATTAGCGCAATCCCTTTCTTACCGCGCAACCCAGAGAAATTCTCAACAGCATTTCGCGCTTACAACGTCTATCATCAAAAGACTCGCACAGCACAATTCGGGACACCACATTCCCAGTAATTGAAGCGACATCTTGACTTTTGGAGCAGAAAAAAAAAAAACAATAGTGCTTTGGAGTGGCCATAAGTACTTTCGGAGCTGCGAAAATGCCAGTGAGGAACAGCTATTAACATTTTTGGAGCAGATGCCAAAATATTCCAAACGACTACTGGAGCTAATAGCACACTCTATGCACCTCATAAATATTATTGTTCATTTATTAAACCTATTTAACATATAATCCCTTCAAATCACAAGAAACAACTCATTAAGCACCTGGATGATCATTGAACACAAAGATGAGCAACGTACATTTAAATTACCAGTACTTGGGGCAGAGAGGTGTACAAGCGATAAAGCTGAGCACAAAATTACTAAAGTGGCCACAGTATTAATGAGAACTGACACCTGGCGATGACTGAAGCTCCCACGCTTAAATGCGCATATATGCTCTATAAAGTGAACGAAGGGACGACCGCCACCGCAGCTCAGTGGTAGAGCGTCAGACGCGTTATTCAAAGGCCGCAGGTTCGGATGCTGCTAGTGGCAAGTTATCTTTCTGTTCACTTTTCTTTCTTCACATCTGTATTACAATTACTTCTAAATACAGCCCCTATACTTTCCCTGGCATTGTTGTCGATGGTTTCTCATTATTATTGTGTCTAACAAAGAAAACAAGTCCATAAGTTTAAAATTTTCTTCAAAAGTGGCCACAATCACATGTAACTATTGACAAATCAGCAATTTATAATTGGTACGAGTTCAATATATTTTGCCACAATAGCCAGCAATAAATAATTCAAAAATAAAATCAGCTAAGTGAGCTATACACTTAAAATGTCAGTTATTGTGGCATATGTTAGGTGAAAGCTTGCGAAGTGGTAAATATAATACGCAAAAGTCATAGATAACAGTACTCGCAGCAGCAGACATGAATCAGTACAACATTGAACTAATCTCACACACCTTTAACTCAAAATAGCCTGCTTGTTAGCTGATATAAACCTGACTCAGATGTATCATTGTAAATAAGCTAGTATATAAACCCTTTCACTGTTTACAAACAAAAGACCCTTGAAAACATCCGGTTTCATTCATCAATGTGCCCAATAGCATCGGTGGGCAAGATGAGCTTTAGAAAATAGCTCACTTTTTTCCTACACTTTCTTCTCTTATTTGGCAAAATATACTCAAATAAATGTTCTTCTGAGCTACATAAAACTGTTACGAGATTTCTTTGAACTTTATGCACGTTCCTTTTATCTGAAAACTAAAGAGAGACATTCCTTGCCTTTTAAAAAAACTTGAGAACGTGCTTTCAGTTTTGAAGTTACGAGCTGGTAAATGAGGTGACCGGAAGTGTTTTGTGGTACAATGCTTGCTATCTTGAAACAGTCTATAGCTTGTTTTTGTTTTCCTTTAGGCTCGCTAGAAAGTCACGTAGCTAAAGTTTACTGTTTTCAGTTTCCCAGTGCCATACTGAAGCAAATTCGAAGCAGTTCATAACAATTATTACACTTAAGAACAGCATGAAGCAATTAGAGCAGCACTGCATTCCTCAGTCCTAGAAAATTTCAATACTACTGTAACATTTAGCCTACGAATTGTACGAATGAAGATGCACATACCAACATTGAATGGTTGGTGAAGGCTCCTCCTCTTTCATGATACGTCCTGGAAAAAGAACAAAAATGGATGTTTAAAGTACATATCTAACATAATAATCCCAAATCACAATAACCATGAAGCGTGGAAACTTGGGCAAGTTGGTACGACGTAACTGTTTTAAGTTGCGCTGTTCGCATATTCAGTCGCAATAATCAACCCAAACATGAGTTTCAAGCCTGATCATATGGGAAACTAATTGTGATGAAACAGAAAAGATGCCTTAAATAAAATAGTTTTCAATAAAGTTACACAGGCATGTTTCATATAACATTCAGAAGCAAAGTATATAAAAAAGAAGCACCAAACTACGAAAACAATGTTTTTGCCTTTGCTTGCAGTTAAATTGAATGCTACACCACAGAAAGCTTGGTACTAAAGAAATATCAATTATTATTATGCAGAACAAGCCACAATAGCCTAGGCAGAGCCATATACCTTTTTTCTTTACTTAATATGCAACACCTTTACTTAACATGTGTACCAAATTTGGCATTGAAATGAGAAATAATACTTTTAGAAGACATTTTTTTACGACACTCAGATGACGTATCTTGAAGTTTGGAAGGCTCTCATCATGACGAATTTTTTTTTTTAATTCTCTCCAAAACATTTTAGCAATGAGCCATTTTCAATGCAATAAATCCGCACAACTTTTTTCTGAAACACATTTGAGGTGGTCGCCAAAATGGCTGAGACGTTTGGCTTAGAATGCCCTGCGTGTCAGTGCACCAAGTATTCTTTTGCCAATTCACAGCGCCTTTTTTTTTTCTCGGAACAAAGACTGAACCAGCGTAGCTTCCAAGCATGACTGCTTTGACTTCACCCAAGGAGAGAACGAAAAGCAGCAAAATATATTTAATACTCACTGGTATATTCTGTTTTTTATTGCTGTCAAAACATAAAACTGCAGCACTTCCCAATGTTCACCTTAAAACGGACAGGAATGTTTTCAGTTGTCTCCTTGCTACAAATAAATGGCGAAGCCCTAGTGAGGCTAGAAAATGTACTGGTAAGCGTGAGTACGCCCTGAAAAATTAATTACAAGTTTTTTTTAAAGCAGAGTTTCATTCCTTCTGTACTCTAAACAGAAACTTTATGAACTTCTCGTCCTATGCTTGCGCAGGATATCACAATGTTTTAATGACTGCTTCCTGGTTTTGTCTGACGTGCACCTCACAAGTGCAATGACGATGCACTCAATGATGAACAACAGAGAGGCTTTGCTCACTCACTCACACAGATACGTTGACCTATGGTGGCAACATCGTGGGAGAATACCACTAAGAAAGAGAGGCGCAAGTGGCCACTATGTATTTTAGTACCTGACATTATCATGATTAGCCATAATGGTTCATGAAGTCATCAGAATCAATACTATAGCACGGGCTAGTGTTCATGTCAGGTGTGCTATGCAAAAAGCGACTTTAATGTCAAAATAAAACAGCATTTCCTGGGCTTTTTCTTCTTAAGGAGCACCTATACTTGCAGGCACGTTGCCTCGGTATCTTTTAGTTACCACAAAAAGCTGTCAGCATGCACAATCAATGTAAAAGGCCTGCATTGACTAAATGATGCATACCTGCTGGAGACTTTGGCAACGGCAGAACAAAGCGTGTTGACAGGGGTGTTTGTGCCGGCGATCTCGGGCTGAAAGAAAAACTAGACTCAAACCAAGGCCAGCAACAACACATTAGTATGCGCACACTTGTTCAGCTCTTTCTTTCCAAAGGGAAGCAGCTCCTAAACTTACTCTAGACATTTTTATTTATTGACACTGCAACTCCTTTAGGAGTTTTAGCAGGGTGAGATAGATACAATGATAATAATAATAATGGTAATAATAATAGTATTATCAATAATAAACAAATAAAAGAAAAGAGACACATTCAATAAAGATAACAAATTCATGTTCAATGACCCAGGAAAGCATTTACCATAGGTACAAATGAAACAAAGCAACAAGCAACGGAGATACAAATAGTCATTAGCTATAAAAAAAAATAACTGATCATGCTTCAGTCATCAAGAAAGGATAAGAATGCTGAGAAAGAAGTTGATTCAACTATTTTGTTGCTAAGGTTATCCCAATCTGTGACTGTTTTCTGAAAAAAAAAAAAATACTTGAAGCAGTCGTTATGAGAACGGAAAGGAGTGATTGTTAGTTTGTGTCTTTGGCGCGTTGAGTAACTGGAGAATGAAATCCATTCGCTAGCATTGATGTTATAGTGCCCCTTGATTAACTGATATAAGAATTTTAAACATGATGAGCGGTTTCTTTCGGCTAAGCGCTTCAGGTTAGCTCGAGCTTGCAGGTCATGTACCGAGCTGCATCAAAAATCGTTATAGATGAACTGTATAGCTCTTTTTTGGACGTTTTCTAGCTCAAGAATATTACCTTTTGTATAGGGGTCCCATATAACAGCAGCATAGTCTAAAACAGGTAGGACAATGGAATGATATGCTAATTTTCTTACAACAGGGGTAGCCAAAGTTAACATTCTCCTTAAAAAGAAGTTTTCTATAAGCAACCTCTCTACATATCTCTAGCTAAAGCCAATAACACAAAATATAAGTCACGGCTATTTATAGCAGTACAGTAAGCAGAAAGACGGAAGTTATTTACGCAAGGGTAGAAAAAGGTAGGCCGGGAGTAGATTGCCCTGAGAAAAAAGAAACAGGAAGAAGGTTATGACAAGAACACAAGCATGAGAGAAATCTTAAAAAAGAAACATGTAAAAGTGCCTACAGCATGCTCTTGAAATGGGGTTAGACATACTAAAGCAAGATAATAGCTTCGAATGCTTGCATCATCCCTAGGAATCCCCAGAGAACTTGCCTCCATGTCATTTCTGTAAGGTTTCTTGTCAGACCATCAATTGGACTCAATTCTCCTTCCCAAAGGGGAGAGCCGCTCTTGGAGGGTGAAAGCATGGTTTCTTGGAGCTGAGACTTTCTTCACAATTCTTTCCCTGCTATAATGAGAACATGTCTCTGCCTAAATCGTTATATGAAATTGCACAATTAAAAAAGAACACTTATTTCAGCTGTCAAAGCAAAGTCAAGCAAGCAAGGAAGCTTTAAACAACATTTAAAGTTTGATGAAAGGCAGTGAGGGTATTAGAAGACTTAAGAATTTTACTATGTATAGTAACTGCATGTTACCAGACATAACCCTGGCTTCACCAGTCTCTTGCTTCTACAAATAAATTACACAGTTATAAGGTTTAGGGAACCCAACAAAATACTTCGATTCCACAGAAATTTTTCTAAAGATGTACTGGTAACTAGACTAAACTTACTGAGCAATATAATCATCCAAAATGACACCTTTGTGGCACTAAACTCCGTACTACAAAACAGTTCGAATACTGAAAACAATTCAGTGACTTCAAATAACTTTGCAAGCTGCCACATTATCCACAACAGTGCTTGCAGATCAGTCGGGTCATAAATCACAAAACCCTCAAAAAGTATCATAGCCTTAGAAAACATGGATGAGAAAGACGCGACAGGATGAGCACTAACTTTATACTGTCTATTGCCAGAAACAGCAGTATATGTAGGCCTGTACACAGAAAAAGGTCCAATTAACACACAAAAAAATCTAGATTGTACAGCGCTGGAGTCTCCTTGCATGTAAGCGAGGTGTTCATTTTTTCGCTGGAAGGTTGCGATGTTGGGTATGATGAACAGCCATGCCGCCGGCACAAATGTCCATGTACCGTAACAATTGCATCACATGCGGCGGAGTAGCTTCTACACTTTTGAGCCGATAGTCTGCGTAAATCACGGCACTCCCTTTCTCTGTGCATGGATCTACACACACTGCAGTTTAGAGTAAGACACTTGGTTAGCACTTGTCCTGTTGCACCCTTTTCATCTGTGTATTCTAGCAACATGATACTTTCTGATCAATACTATGATACTTTTTAACCAACCAGCCCAAAAAGTAATTTTGTCACAAAACCCACCAAACATACTGGTCATGCTGTGCCAAACACTGGCTCGCAATTAGTGCAGCTTTTCCATTCATATGTGAACTTAACAAGTGCAGGAGAATACATTCCCAGAATATTTCTTGGTAAAAAGTTATTTGTCTGCCTGACCACCTCACCGACATGACTACCGAACTACCCTTGAACTGTACACTACTTATAAGCAAAACCATGTGCATATGAATATGTATATGGCAGCAACATCACTGCACTTTACATTGACTGTTCACCAGGATGGCTTGGTGGGCTAGCAGGTAATGCATTATAAAAGGAATATAACAACAACAAAAACAAACAGCAACATCAAGCTTGCTGTTCAAAAAAAAGGGGGGTGGAAGAGGAGATGATAATATTATATAAAACTTTACGTCCCAAAACCACAATATCACTATTACAGACGCGGTAATGGAGAGTTCCGGAAGAAATCTCGAGCATATGGTGTTCTTTGGCGTGCACTCACATCGTACAGTATATGGGCCTCTGCCATTTTGCGTCCATTGAAATACGACCACCACAGCAGGGGGGGGGCTAAGCTTAAGGCACTGATAGTGACATCAAGGTTGAACATCACAAAGGGGCACCGCAACCCGATTTGAACATGTGTTTTTCATCTGTTTTTCCGGTGCTCTGGAATGCGCCAATATCATTGCACAAATGGCAACACCGAGATCAGGGCTGTTATAATATTAATTATAACCTTGATTTTGTCTACAGCGACACACATCGGCTATATGAGAAGTGGCGTATGTCACGTGAAAGTGACAAAAACTGACAACATATGCAGTTCGTTTTTGATTGGTCTGTTGCGACAAGTAGCATGCAATATTCATATGGTGGTAGTTAGGCCTTACAAGTCACATGCTGAAAACAATGAAACTTCTTTTCACACTTCCTCAGAAATAAATAATTTCAGTTTCTAAACCATGCATTTTCAGAATTAACAAGGCACTTAGCCAACGAACGCAGCTATGGCATGCCAGCAACTAAAGGTGGAAACGCATGCAGCCTTCTTGAGTATTTTAGTGAGCCAAAAGTGTGACGCGGTGGTCGCTGGCGTTGTCGTAGAACGTCTCTTGCACGCAAGGTGAGAAGTGTCCCGGCCTAAGGAGTATGTATTTTACAAAGTGGGGAGCACTGGATTGATTGATATGTGGGGTTTAACGTCCCAAAACCACCATATCATTATGAGAGACGCCGTAGTGGAGGGCTCCGGAAATTTCGACCACCTGGGGTTCTTTAGCGAGCACCCAAATCTGAGCACACAGGCCTACAACATTTCCGCCTCCATCGGAAATGCAGCTGCCGCAGCCGGGATGTGAACCCAACCCCTGCGGGTCAGCAGCCGAGTACCTTAGCCACTAGACCACTGCGGCGGGGCGGGGAGCATTGGAGTGTCTGCTACCAGACGCATGTGGTTCATTATAACCATGGTGACAACACAATTAAAAAGAGAGGTAGCAAGGTACTGTGTGAAGGCCACCATGAGACATTTTCCATATGTTTTTCCATAGTAATAGGAAACAATGTTTGACCTCAGCGGGAGAGTGAAATGCAAAAGGAAACATTTCTCATCTTCGTCTGCGCAAGTTTTCAACTTTGAATGAGTACTCATAGCTTCACTTATCATGCACCCATTTGCATCCTTGTTGTGGCATTCGTCGTGGCTAAATAAGGCTGTCGCAAAAGTGTCACTGGGCCTAATTAACTGCTCAGACTCCCTTCAAGCTGTACAAGGGACTAGTACTTTGGCATGGCAAGGAAGTTCCTGCTACATAGAAAGAATGGCATTGCGGCAGCAGTCGTATCACCACCAGGGACAGTAATGGTGGTGCACATGTACATCGATGTTACGGCACAAGCTGAGACAATAAGCAGTCACTGTTATGAACAACATCTACACTGAGATGGCATGCACATGGGAAATCCTTAACCGTGCTCTGTTTTGGTTGCTCGACCTTGCAGTGTACGGTGGAAGCACCAAAACATTTTTAAACTTTTTTGCCAGAACAGCAAAATGAAAGGGAGCCTGGCAGTGGCTCAGAGCCTTGAGTACGGACTGTATACAAAACAAATTTTTGCTTAGACTTGCATTGTCCTATTGACAGTACTGAATTCTCTTCAGGCACTGATGAAGGAAAATGACACTCGAGCCAGTATTATCCCACCGGTCATTTTTCTTTCAACAAACTCACACTTGCACCAATGATGAATGAAAAATAGCTCAGTATGTCAGCAATTTGATATAAAAAAAGTCAACAGAGGAACATCAAGGCTGCAGGTAGCATGCCGTCCTGCAGAGCAATCAGCTTTCTCCTATCTACAGGCCTCACTGCATTACATCACTCTTGCAGTGAAGCTCACCAAAGCAAATTCTAAGTGGCGTGTGGTTTCCTTCAGGTTCAGTGCCTTGTTTTATAACATCTACTAGAACGGTGTCGTTTTGTCAGAATATTTCCAATTAAGTGTGAAGTGATTGTGAAGTTAGGAGTAGTACGCTTTTAGAACTAGGTGCAGGTTCCAATACACGGAAAATATAGACAATTTTCCGTGAGGGAAGCTTGAGTTCAAGTTTTCTCAGGCTCTTCCAATTCCCCCAGAATGACCAGCTGGTAGACAGTTTGTAGAAGAGTGCCCCACAATGCACTAAATTTATGCCAATAAGGTTACAAATGTTGTGACTGTTGCAGTCTCTGTCGCACTTTGCCTACATTTACAGATCTAAAAAAAAAATTTTAGAGCACATGTTCTCTGCTCTTGGTTTAGAACCTTGGTCCAGAACCAAGATGAAGAAACAGCACGGCTGTATTTGCATAAGTGCACAGGCTACACTTCCCATTAATGTAGCACCCCTATTGGAAAGCATTGTTAATTAAACATGCGGTGCTGATAAAGGAAGTGAACTTTGCAATACTTCAGGGATCAAATGAATGGCATGAAACGGCTTCTGTATTATTGTTAATGACAAGCAGACAATGCTGTACACATCTGTATAATGTGAACCCTGTGAAGGAAAAAAACTATGAGCAAGACCATAGTGCCATGTTTGCACACTGTCTCTGTATAAAAAACCACATTTCCTTAGACTTCACAATCAGTCCCGAGCATTTGGATGCCAGCAGTTCACAGCTTGCATAAGGAAAAAAAAATGCATTCTGAACAATATTTTCTTTGTTCTTTCATGAGCGAAATTTCATTTATAGGAGTTACAAAAGAGGCATGAGTGCAGTGAAGCTTTTCAAGTGTAGAACATATTCTAATAAAGTACATCTTTTGTGACAACTACTTCAGAAGATGCTTTTTATCATATTTGAATAGTCCCCCCCACTCCTTTTTTTCCCAGTTTTGTGACCACTATTAAAGCACAAAATTTGTAAAGTAAAAGAAGGGCTTCAGCGACACAAGCGGACTAGCTATTAGCTTAAAAAAAAAACCTTGAGCTAATTGGGTCTTTGCTTTCATGCTCATAGGGCTACAAAAAACATTTTGGTTTTCGTTCAGTCTAATCTCACATCATTTCTTGCTTTAGCAGCAGACAACAAAAACTACACAAATAGTTTAAAGATAACTTTGCATGCTATTTAAATCTACATTAGGCTGCATAAAAGTAGGATAAAGGATTACATAACTTTGGGTGTTGCAATGCTTCAGCTTAAAAGGCAGCTGTCTTAAAGTGAGTGAAGTTTTTATTTAGGTCCTAAAGATGAACTATTGAAATATTGGTGAATGACTGAAAACATTGTCCAATTTGGCCTCATACAAGAAGTAAAACAAACGAGTAATCACATGGAAACACTATTCCTCCGTTATGATGTTGAACACAGGGCTAGAATCCTGGTGTCAATGTCTTTGCAAGGACTTGAGAACAACAACTGCATCTCTGGGTAGTATAATTCCTGCATTTCCAGGCATAAGAAGTCCGAATGGGTAGAAGAATAAGAAAAAAAAAATGGAATGGGGGGGGGGGGGGGGGGGTTGCATTACAAAAAAACAAAAATGCTCCCTTTCGAATATCACACCTAATCTATTCATGAGCTTCTTGAGCCCTCACTTTACTCTTCCTTACCAATTTAAGGAGAGATGAGAGTTGTCAATTTAAGGAGAGAGTTTTGACTGCTTTGAATGACAGAAAGCTGAAATAGTTGGTAGAGATTCATGCTGATGAATTCAAGTCTGCATTCTCCTCTGATTCCTCTATTTTGCTTGAACATCCTTTGTGTGCAAGGTATATATGTATAATACTGTATGACAGCGGTCCGAAACACACACAAGCAGCCCACCGACCTTTCGCTAGCAGCCCGTGGCCTGCACAGGACTCTCTTCATCCCATATATATTTGTTTAATTTTGGAAACAAATGTTTACAAGCTACACAGGCATGGCTGGTCTTGTGCATTTTTTGCATGAGGCACAGCCTGCAGTGTTGATAACCGTGAAAGAAAACTGATGATACGGTGATCCTGGCACCAAATCCCCTTCAGAAGTGACCCACAAATGAGATATGCCACTGAAATGGCAATGTTAGCTGACTATTTGTACTGACCAGCCCCTCCCCCCTCCCTATCCTCTACATACTGCACTATCGTGGCTCTTGGAGGAGTAAATTTGTTTGACTGAGGCCCAGTAGGTGAGGAGAGTGAGGCTGTATGTGAACAAGACATTGCAGCACATATCATTACAGTATTGTTATAAAATGCCTGTTCATGCAACATCGTACAAAAGACATTCTACAACAAAGAAAGTGAATTTAATCCTAATGTCTAAAAGTAGTAAGCAAAATGGGTCAAACAGCAAGCTACAAAGGGAATATTATCTTGAATTATTACAATAATCCAATGAGGTATAGCCCGCTAAGGCAGGCCAACTACTAACTCACAAATGTATCCTACAACACTGCAACAGGCATTGGTAGTACCAGAATTTTACTATGCCACGAAAAAAATCTTTTGTAGCCATTTTATAGCTCTCATCTGCCATGTGCGCATGGGTCTGTACAAGATCTTGTCAACTGTAACCAGTGATGGCAACAAAGAGCGACAGATATGAAGCTTTGGGAGAACTCATTTCATGCACATATTCATTTATTGGGCTTTTTATTATGGAAGATGAAAGCTCCATTGAGACACTGCCATGTTCGACAAGCTGTTGAATATGTCATTAAGACAGCAATATTACCACAATGTTTTTTTCATTTTTGGCAAGTTGCAGGCAATAAGAATGCGCATGAACTCTTGAGTCGGTGTTTCAGTTAAACACAAAAATGCAACCTGACAGACTGCATAATGGAGACAGGTCATAACCATGATTCACTAGAATGTGTACACAACACCACCTTATCACTCTGGCAATAGTGCTTAGCACCTGCAACAAATTAGGGTTTTTTTTACAATTATTTCTTAACAGCACAATTCATGGGTTTTTACATGCCACAACTATGGCACGATTGGGGGACACACTATAGAGGATTACTTTGGATTAGTTTTGACCACCTAGGTTTCTTTACAGTCCATTATTACTTGTGTCTGGAGTTGACATTATCTACTTGCAAACAACTCTGTCAATGCACTAACTGAAACTATATTGTAAAAACTTAGATACAACAATACTTGCAGCGAGCCCTTTTAAACATGTGCCAATGAAGTCTACATGCATAGCACCAGCGTACAATTGAGTAGTTTTTTTTTTGTTTTTTTAAATCCAATTACTGCCAACAAACGGTGCCTGTATAAACGATTCTGACAGAAAAATCAAGTTGAGTCGACACTCATTTGCCACCACAAAGAAGCGAACGAGTCAAGTGAACAACGTGCACGGGTCACAGCATATGATCAGCAAAACTCCAATGTCGCTCCTTTTGAATCCACGCATTGCGATTGCTCCAACTGTGTGAACCACTTATTATAAGGGCTGTAGGCAAATTATTGTTAGGGCTCCGACTACGAGAAAAATGCACGGCTTAAATATATATATATAAATATCGTGCCCTTACACCTTACACGTACTTTAAACAAACTATCTTGAAAACACTAAACACGTACTATCCCCAAACGCTCGAGTTAAGAATCATATGATCGCCTTGCCGCCGTTCGAAGGCGGAGACCGGTGCACCTAAAAGCCCGACTTGCGTGCAGCTAGCGTGGCAGTAATGTAGCTCAACCCAGTTGTTCATTTACCAGACATTTTCTACTCGCAATGCTCAACGTGAAATGTACGGGAATGCACGTAAATTCAAACTAGCACAGCTACAGGTACACTAGGCTTTAACGTGGCTACGTGTGCGGTTAAGGGGCAGATGGCATAGGTGCCGCGAATCCGGGCTCAGGTGTAATTAAAGAGCTCACAAAGGCCAGTGCTTAACATCATTTCTTGAGTATGCGAAGAAACAAAAGTGTGCGAATCTGCCAAGGAAGTAGCACTCGGTCAACGAACAACGCACACGGGAAAGGAAGACACTAGCGGTTACCTTTCAGTGGAAGCAGCTAGAACCGGCCAGGTGATGGAAAACCTGTTCCCGGTGCGTCAAAAGTGTTACCGGTGATTATAGTTGGCGAGCAGCATGTTCTCCCAGCTCTTTGGCCCACTCAAACTGGCCGCGGCGAGCAGAGAACAAGGCGACGCTAGAAAAGGACGCCCTCAGCGTGGGACGGTTGCTCGCGCGCAGGGAAGAACCAACCGCGAGACCGCGAGGCTCGTTTCGTTGGCGCTTGAACTCGTGAACCTCAGGAAAAAGAAAATGATCCTCTGAAATGCCAATATACCTATTCGATGAACACCACGGGATCTTTATAGAAAGAATATTCGCGTAATAAAATCATCCGAGTAGGTTTAACTCGACAAAAGCTAATTTTCGCTGCATATGTAGTTTCGTGATTCTGCCTTAGAGGGCTGTACAGTCGATGAAGGCTCTTTATTTGGGCATCTGGCAACAGTGGGCCGCTTTTGGCGCGAAAGATAGGCTTAATTGACGCGTATTCGCGCCACAGCTGGGTGTGTTGGACTGACAACGGCACGGGTGAGCCGCTGTCTCGTGCTCATTTTCATTTAAGAAGAGTGGCGTTTGACAAGATTTCACGCAGTTGAGTTCTGCGAATTTAGTTTACTAATCGACTCACCGCTTCGCTCAACTCTGCAATTTCGGAGCGCGCAAATAACTCGATAGGACATGGAAACTGCCCCTGGCACTGCTGCGGCCGACGCTGGTGATCAGAGGTGAGACGTTCAAGTTTTCTGCTGGAACGCGTGCGTCTTCTTCACGTAACGTTCACGTAACGTCCCGCAATGGCCAAACGTTGTTTCTATTGTCTGATCACTTTAATAGCTGGTAGTGAGTGGTTTTGATCTTAGTCGTCTGCTACGACTTGGCTTCGCACCTATGCGCACAGCACGAACATTTTCCCGATTCTGGTGTGCACTTTTTTTTTCTCGCTGAACCTGACTCTCAAATTTGTGTGAGCGTTACAATTGGGCTCATTAGTGAAATCGGCATGAAGTTATTTTTTCGCTAGTTTCTCGAATGAAAAATTGCTCCGCGTTACGTTCGGGGGCACGCTAGAATCGGGAAAATACATCTTTTCGCGTTTAAGATTTCGTTGACCGCTTCACTCTTCTGATGATCTTTTTATTATTGTCAAATCGATATCGTGAGGTGGGTGCGAAGTCAACAAGTTGTTGCTTTCACATGTCGATATTACTGCTGTCGCTTGTGTTCTTTTTATTTGTCACCCACATAATCACGGCATACCATGTTCAGTACGATAATCTTTTAGGCTGGGAAGGCTGAGATGCCAAAGACGGGGACACCTTTACTTGGTCTACCCGTACCCAAAGGCATGTTCCTTGTGTACATGGTAATTAAAAAAAAAATTGTGGCCCTGTCTGTGCTGCATTTTTTTTGGCACTCTTTAAAGTAATAGTGTGGCAGATATTTTGTGTATATTTATTTTATTGCGCGTAATTTAAGCCAACACCAAGTTGCACAAAAGTTCCGGCATTTATGTGAAATTTGTAATGACACTAAACCAAACAAAAATATAGTTGTTGATGCTGCTGAAACTGCCAAGATGAGCAGAAAATCGCTCTGTTTCAAACTTCACTAAGTTGTACCATATTTTAAAAAATACAGATGTGATTCTGGCATAAATTTGAAATTGCCTGCATTACTGTTCTCCCAATCGCTATGTTGATGAGTGAGCTTTTGGTGAAAAGTCGGCTGACCAAGGCATTTTGTCTGGTGCTTATGCTGTGGGCTTCTCACATAGACCAGCAGAGTTTTTTTTTTTTTTCCTTATCTCTAGAACATTGAAACGAGTTACCCCTGGCAGTCAACATTACTCGATCAAGACCTCTTCCTAGATGTGATAACCAAAAGTGGAGAGGGTGAGAAGCTGTGACATCATGTACAAGCTTTGCACTTGTACAAACAAATCTGCATTATGCATTGAAGGAACATTCATTCTCGCTTTTTGTAAGCACACGGTTGCTTTCTGCATTTTTCAATCCCTCGAACCAATGGGTGTCGGGTCAGGAAACCTCCACTCGCATCCTTATGCTCAGTTTTTGAGGATTACAGTGAGCTTCTCTAAGTAGGCTGGCATGGTTGTGCACCTTGAACTAATGCTGGAACCTATTCATGCTTCGAACAGTCTCAAGTAATAGGTAAGGGCATTTGCACAGTCTGTAGAACATGCTGTTGTGCGGTTGAAAACGCCACACAACAAGGATTCATTGGAAGCGTGTATACGTGGGCATGTTAGTAATTCACGTTCATTTTTTAGTGCACAAAAGAACAAGGACCGAAAGTGCTGTGTCCTAGTCGCTTTTCCTATTTTTTTTCTTCGTGTGCTAAAAATGAACAGGAATTCATCCTAAGAAACTATACGCGGTAATGGATAAAAGCGCAGCACTGTTAAAAAAAATGCTGTTCTTGTAGAAGCATGCCCTTCTGAGCATGTGCGAATATATAAAGGGTAAATGAATGTGCCTACAAAACAGGGGTCTCAAACATGCGAAGCATGCTCATGAGCTGCACAGGCGTGAGTGGCATGAGCTGCACAGGCGTGGCACAGGCACATTCCTGGGGGCAGCACACCAGGAATGAAGCCTGCAATAAGTTTCTTGAAATGAAAATTCACCGCTCCACAACTATAAAAGGGTCTTTGATGTTGAGTTATCTTGTATATCAGTGCTAGTTCTTCCACATACTCTTCCTTTCTATATCCCCACAGCGTGCCGCAGTAGCTTGGTGTCGGGCTGTTAAGCTCAAGGACATGCATTTGATTCGGGGCCTTAGCAGCTAAATTTGGAGGTGAGGGTAAAATAAAGGAACAATGCTGTACTTAGATTTAGCTGTATGTTGAAGAATTGCAGGTCTTTGAAATCAATCTGGAGTTTCTCACGATGGCGTGCCTCCTACTCCTACCATGGTTTTGGCATGTTAGCAGTTTCAGTTAAAACTCGATCTAAAAAAACCAGATTTTATGAGTTTGCTAATCTAATAAATAGATTTCTATTCTCTGGCAGGTACCCATAAGGTTCAATGTTGTCATCAACCTTAATTAACAAATATCGTAGCAATAAACTCTTAATTAGTGAAATTTTTCCAGAAGTAGATTAGTAGTGCAGTCATTTCTTTCCAATATTGACACGTGGACGTTGTCTTTGCGTCTCCACTACAACATTATCATGTTAAAACATCTTGCCTCCTAGTCACAACCATAGTTTTATTTTAATGTGGCTGCAGGCCACACCAACGCAAGGAACAATGGACTTCACAGATGTAAGCACGCACTTTTCCATGCCAAATTGCGCTAGGGGTTGTGGCTGTTCAGTGTCCAGGTAAATTCTCTCACATGAAAACTAGGGTGGCTTTCGTTACTTAACAGTTTATGCTAGTGATACGTGGACGTTGTCTTTGCGTCTCCACTACAACATTATCATGTTAAAACATCTTGCCTCCTAGTCACAACCATAGTTTTATTTTAATGTAGCTGCAGGCCACACCAACGCAAAGAACAATGGACTTCACAGATGTAAGCACGCACTTTTTCATGCCAAATTGCGCTAGGGGTTGTGGCTGTTCAGTGTCCAGGTAAGTTCTCTCACATGAAAACTAGGGTGGCTTTCGTTACTTAACAGTGTATGCTAGTGATCGCAGTGACAGTCTTCTCACAAGTTTGTGCATTCCTTCTGCCCGTCATTGCATCACGGCAGCTTGTCGTAGCTTCAGGTAACAATCTCTCCTGCATTGTGAAGACCATGTCGAGGCTGCCCTCGCCAACTTTTTGAGACGAACAGGCTTGTGTTACCTGCTAAAAAAATGTTGCAGCAGCTTTTGGGTGCTGGCACGTTTCAGATTAGGTTTCGAAGGACCAAAAGATCTCTTGATATTTCAAACTTCCTGATTTAATGAAATAAGTAGAGTACAGTCATCACCTCATTTAAATAAATAGTCTCAACTGTATTATCCATGTTCCTCTCTTTCTCCTTATTTTCTCCCAAATTTTTTTTTTTCAATGAGTTTCTGGATTTCAGGTGATACCTTCAGTGAGGTGCAACAGTAAAGATTTTTCATTCATTGACTTTGACTTTTTTGCTTTTGTCACTGATATTTAACCATTTGATTCATGAGCTAATAAGTGCTGTTTTTATCTCAGCAGGAACGAAATTAGAGACTTCTGGGATCTCCATGAACGCCTAGAACATTCATGGGCTAACATCATAGAAAATAGGTATGTGGCCTTTAAATAATTAATTGCCTATCATGTATTTGTTACCACTATTGCATTCTGTTGTAATACTTCATGACTTTTTTTAGCAGTGCCAGTAATACCATACTGTCTATGCTATAGTATTACTATTTTATATTGGCATATTGCAAACTGAGAGCATTTTAGCTGCTCGAGTTGCTGGATGTAACATGCATGTAATGATGATAGGGGTTAATGCAAACCTTGTAGGTCGAAATAGCCATGCTCTAAGCTCAAAATAGTCATCTCAGCGTGAAAGTTTTACCCTGTATGGTATTTAGCTATATGGAAAGGCATTCGTGGAATGCTGGTTTATCACACAATGGAATCACCTTATGATGCTTCAGCTAACCATAATTATAGACACGTCAACGAGTTTTCATAGATTATCTCTGGCAAAAAAATTTTTAAGCAATATTTATATTGCACTGCTGCCAAATGTTTACAGCAGAAGAGAAACGGAATACACTAGTTTACTGCTATAATAATTGTGTGCTTGCCTGGTTTTGTGCCTATAATAGTTTTGTGCTTGCCTACAAAGGTGGTGCTATCTCTGCATCACCAGATTGCACCACCTATGTAGCCGTTGTCAATCATATCCATAGTAAACCGGTAAATTTTTAACTGTTAGATTTCAGAGAAACTAAGACTTGCTAGGGTTGTTTTGAGAAGAATGCATATGTTTGTGAATAGTGGCCTCTAACATCACAGGGATTGGATTGATGAACATTAGTACAGGCCAATCTAAGTGCAAGCCACCTTTCCATGCTATGCAGGTATATGGATTTACTCAATATCAACGTTTCTAGATCCTTTTAGTTGTCAAACTGCACGAAATGTGGCCTTCTGCTGTCTCCTCTCATGAGGTGGCACTGTCGCCACAATCGACCCAGTTGCTACTGAAGCTTCGCAAGGCAGCAGCGCGCCGCTGTATGAATGGCGCTTGTGTTTATCTCATTTTCTCACATTGTGCTACTCTTCTTAGCACCAAGTAATCCAGGAATATCCTTCTTACTTTGTGCAGTCTGTAAAAAACTGCTAATGGGTAAATGAATAGGACACTGAGGCTTTTCGTGTGAGGTATATTGTTTTATGTATGTGTATAAAGGGCCGGTGACATAAAAATACAAAAGCACGTTTGGCAATATTCACAAAAGACTTGCTTTCTTGTTTGTTACAGCTACCTTGAGACTGTTTTCCAGTCAAAAATTCGTATCCCTCCCATAAAAATGCATCCACATAACAATGAAAAATTTCACTTTGTGCGTGAATGTGAGCATATGGTCTGCGCAGCCAAGAAAAGGGAGCCAGCGCCCCTCTAGATTATCTAAAACCTTCCAGAATATGTCTCCGCACTCTTTCTGTTTTGCACTCTTTCGCTCGCTGTAGCGATGGTCAAAAGCTCTTAGAAGGGCGATGCAGGGATTTCGATGGCAACCGCGTCGTCTGTGGAGCACACTTGTTCACCATGCAAAGAATCATTGAGCACTGAATTTTCATTTTCACCTGCTTTTTGTTTCTTGTGGCGTTGAGTCAAGGGCTGGCTGCACAGTGGGAAGATAAATATTTCGGTCAACTGGGAGACAACAGCGTCTTCTTTTGGCGTCCACTTATCATGTGGTATGGTGACCACTTAAGTTATTTATCTATTCATTATACCTCAAAGGTCCCACATGGGATTTCACTAGAGGGGCATCACACTTGACCATTCACGTTGTGGATGAAATAACCAACGAGGTCTTCTGACTGGAAGGGCAGGTCATGCACGACACAAGAGCTGTCGAGTTCTTTGTCGATCCTCAGAATGGTGTACTGCGATTCGCAAAGACGTGATGCAGTCTTCCGCGGCTTGAAAAAGTGCCTCTTTTCACTCGAAGATCGCACTGAGTCGTAGCCACTCCTACAGCTGGTCACCAAGCACAAGGGGTGTAGCCACGGAGTGGCACACCGGGCCTGTTCCCCCCCCCCCTCGAAATTTTTTCCCCCTGGCGTAGAGAGCGAAAATGGACTATTTCAAAAGAGTGCCCTCTCTGAAGTCAAAAAGGTGCCCCCCCCCCCCCCCCCCCCCGCTGAAAAAAATTTCTGGCTACGTGCCTGCAAAACACCTAGGCATATTAGATGCGAAGCATCTTAGAGCAGGGTTCGATCTGGTCTGTGCTGTGACCTCCCCAGGGAACACCACTTTGACCACCCCTGCTGCACATGCGCAACAGCTGGCCCAAGCAAAGCCACAACGCGCTAGCGCGTTCGGCCTAACCTAAAGTCTCACTCTCTAACATTCTCTCAGCAAACACGTGATGGTGTTGGGAACACGATCTGGTGACGCGCGATGAAGCAACGCCTAGGCAGAACGCGCTGGAACTCGCTAGCGTGTTTGGACCTGCGTAAGTGGCTATGTGTAAATGGCTGTGGCCAGCTTTGACGATCTGATCTCGGCATTAGGTGCCTGGCAAGATCACGAAGCAGCCGATGGAGAAGCGGAAGGCTCGATGCGCCAAAGCGCAAAGTAAACGTGGGCAAGTAGACCCTCCGGACTAGGGAAACCCAGCGCAAACGGCAACGTCGGCGGGGAACTGCTAACATGCCAAAATGCAATGGCAGCATCAACATGTAAACTCCGCTGTACGCAACACCTAAGCCAAGCGTCAGCGCCCGTGCAGAACTCCTCGCTAGACAACTTCAACACCTGGGCTTCAACGGTGCCGACGCCACTAAATAACACCAAATACGTAGCATAAAGGACGGGAACACCCAGTCGAACCGATGCAAACGCGGTGTACACTACCGGTGCTGCTTTGCAACTCTTCATGGTTCCTTTTAGCGGGAATTGGTGTAATTTTTTATCACAAAGCCCACGGCATTATCCTGGCGCATAGATAACCAACATGCGCAAAAAAGAGTGTGCGCCGCTCCGCGTGCACGACAGAAAGGGGTCAGGCGCTGTAGCGGAGTTTGACAACTAAAGGTATTTAGTAACGTTGCTAATTATACACTGCCGAAAGTTTTCTGTAGAAAGTTCATGCATGGGCACTCAGCAGCCTGTACAGTATTTCCTCACTTACTGTATTGTAAATTGGCACTGCTAAAGCTGCAAGTTTTTTTTTTTCCTTTTTCAGAATCACTCGCAGCTTCTGTTTCAATTGCAGAAGCTGTCTGATCAGACGGGCAAAGCTAAATAGTGAGCCCTCAGTGCATCTAAAGGCACCTGTGACAGATGGATTATGACACTGGAATAGGTGTCATAAAGTCTAACCATTTGTAGCAGAGAATAATGCTCTTTGATATAATTCCTAATTTTTTGTGTGAAGCTTAGCCAAAACCGTAAAATTTATTGTAATTGCACCATGCTTTGGGCATCATCATCCAATCTAATACAGAAACACCGACCCCAGTCCCACTGCGAAAGAAGAGAGAAAAGGGACAGCAGTTCTAAAATTTTTTGGCTTTGTCCCATCATGTACAAAACACCTTTTAAGCCACTTTCTTTGCAATGCACTGGTTCTTTGCTAAAAAGTGACTAAAATTTAGAAGGGGCTGTTAGTACTTGCAGTGGTGGGACAACTCGCATTTTGTTCCTTAATTTGTGCTTTCACAAGCCATAGAACTATAAGTATTGGTATTTATTAATGCGATAGCATTAAAGAGCTCATTTCACAGAAATGTCGGTGTCGTTAGTTGTGAGCGAAAAATCATCTTATGCACGACCGCAAAGTCGAGAAAGATGCAAATAAAATAAATGATACAAAATCCTGGAGCATAGTGGGGATCGAACCAGGGTTGTTTGGGTCCAAGTGGGGAAATAACCCGGGTCGTTTGCATTGCTAGTGGATCTACCGTGGCCATGTCTCTGCTTGTGAAAACAGAGAAAAGAACTTCCTCTGCTTGGAAATGCAGTGAAAGTAGCTTTCATGCTTCTCAAACACACGCTTCCTGTATGCATGCTTCACGATGCAACATGAAATGTTGCAGTATATTGCGTGGTATAAGCTCCTGTTGCCAATGAGCGTCAGAATATGCGATTATCATTATCGTAATGGCTTTGTGGTTGAAGGCCACTACAAAAGGCACACGCGCTATTGCGCTTATTTTCCCAAGGCAAATTCGAAAAGGTTTCATGCACTAAGTGTTTGAGGTACGTGCTAGGAACAGTATGTCGCTATCACATTCAACTCCTAAAGGTGAAGCTTTAGGGTCCCCTAATGTTTTATTCATTTATTTATTTTATATGTGCATTGCCCACATTGGGGAGGTTACATACAACGGGGAGGTTTTTTGTATGTAACCTCCCCACAGCGGGGAGGTTACATACAAAAAATATACAAGGTAAACACACTCGCAAAGTGTGGGAAAATACATCGTTGTCTAAAATGTGTACAACGTCAGGCAATAGAGCATTCCATTCTCTTATGGCTCGTGGGAAAAAAAAAAATACCTGGAGATGTCATTCTTTAAAGGGAATTCGCAAACTTTCAGAGCATGGTCGCTGACAAAATGATGGGCTATTATTAAGGACGTTACCACGGCCCTGAGAAACAATTAACCAAAACAGATGCTTTTTTGCCTCCCCCACTCACTCCTTCTTTATGAATCTCCTGAATTTAAAGGGCGCCATGTGCACATTACCATTTGCAGAACTATCCCGGCTGTGGCGGCTGCATTTCCGATGGAGGCGGAAATGTTCTAGGCCCGTGTGCTCAGATTTGGGTGCACGTTAAAGAACGCCAGGTGGTCCAAATTTCTGGAGACCTCTACTACGGCGTCTCTCATAATCATATGGTGGTTTTGGGACGTTAAACTCTGCATATCAATCAATCATCATTTGCAGAACCTGTCACAATATTTGACAGTTGCTGCTAACTCTAATGTGAACTTCTGTCATTGTTGGCACTGTAGGTAGTTTAACAAAACTGCCTTTACTAGAATATCAGTGCTCACCTGCACTGTGCACGAGTTAGCTGATGTATAATGGTTTTAATGTACTT